GAAATATTGTATTGCTATTCTTCTTACTATGCTATTTCATTAATTGTTTTTGCTTTGAACTAATTATGTCTTCTGGCTAATCAGTAAAGGTAAATATATGGCTAAGGCATCTGAAATGGATGTGGACACACAGAGGACCTCTACTTAGGTTAGTTTATTTTATGGGGAAATCATATGAATGTGGCAGAGATTGGGGGGTGAGGGTAAGATGTTGACCTAAGTGCTACATTGGAAATATAGATTCATATCTGAACAAAAATTTTTCCATATCCAATGACCTTGGACTGAGTTTTAAAATTCATTTCCATATATTTCTTGAAATTTCATGATGTTGTGGTAAATTCTACACACTCTAAATTATCATGGACCAACATTCTAAAATGATGTTAATGTAAATGAGAAAAGTTTTATTTTCCATTTCACTCAATCACTTTCTTCAACTCTTGCTTTAACTTATAATTTGGTATCCTTCTGATATTAATGTTGTTTCTCAACATATATCTGTCCACTCACATCTTTCATTATTTAAGCTAAAACTCTTATTACTTATGTGTTTAAAATCATTTTATGGGCCCTAGCTTTCCATAGTACTGTTTTATTCAAGTGACATTTGGGCAGATATATGTATAACTGAAAGAAAATGTGCTAAGTAAGAAGAATGCTTTAGATTTATCGATTTTAGGCACAATGAAAAAGTATTTTGAGTTTTAAATCAGAACTCCTTAATTTCAATTATTTTAAACAGGTTTCAGAATAAAAGCTGGAGTAGATTGATTGTGACAGGAATAGTAAAGGAATATTTTTAAGTATGTATAAGAATATATGAAGAAATATTATAAAATTTACCTTTTAAAATATCAAAGCTTGTTCAATAGTTGATAATGCAGGTTACAATATAGTTTTTATTCCAGTCTGTCATTGGAAATGAATATATTTTTTAAATGTATTTAATGAGTAAAAATAATACACCATCATTTTTGTTCTAAATAAACACTGCAGATGTATGATCTTACATATTATAATTTATTGAATATAAGTGGTAGGAAAAGGGACAACTAGGGCACTGAATTTTACTTTTTCATTGGTAATATATAAAAATTATTAGATTTATAAAAGCCGGCTTTGAGAAAAAAGCATATTTTTAACTCAACACATTGCTCTTTTTCTTACTTGATTTGTCCTAGATAATAATGAGGTAAAATTGCTAATGGTAATATTGAACTCTAACTAGCATGATGCCCTATTTCTACTAGATTTGTAATAATTTTTGTTGAAATGGTTTTATTAAATTGAAGTAGGAGGATTTTCTTAATGGTTTCTTCAGCCACACTAAAGAACTGAAATATTAAGTATAGTGTTCATAAATGATTTACACAAATTCCATTCATTTTTGTATTTATTTGAATTGAACATGGATTTTCAGTATAATTTCACTGAAAATGAAATTTATCAAAAGAATTGACTTGGAACTCAGAGGGACATTTATCCATTATATAGCTATGAAATGCAAACTGACAAATGGGAATCAAATGGCAGAACTGGCATCATCAAGCAAATGCTGATGCATGAATAAAAACTTAATATGAAACATTCATTTTTTAACATTGCAAAGGCAGGTTGTATTTATAAAGCAGACAGCCCAAACTGATTCTAACTTTCAGCTCTAACTAAGAAGCTGATAAGATTAGTAAGTTGACAAATTTCATTTGTAACAGTTTCTTCAAAGTATTAAATTGAAAAAGTATTATTTAATAAAACAGAAATGATCACCATTAAAAGAATCAGAGCAAATTCTCTAATGCACTGTGTCAGTCTTTTATGGAGGCTTTATGAAGAGTCCCATGGGATGAGCAGATATAGTGGGGTTTCAATTTGTACCGGAAAAGGGAGTACCCACTTAGATGAGATCACAGATTCATCAAAGTAATACAAAATTATATATGTGTGTATGTGTGCACATAAAATCTACTTCGTAACATTATAAATGGATAAAAATAGTTTTGCTCACTGTTAGAAGATATCACTTATGTTATTTTTACCTAGCTACCACTTTATCCAACCTTGTAATCCCTGAAGTACCTATAGTATATATATTTTAAAGTTTCAGGAGATGTCAATTCTGATGATTCAATCAGCCTATAGTTAATTTAAATATAGTCAAGTCACTGTACATTAATAGACAAATTCAGTTACCAGAGATTTTTTATGTTAGTTTGTAGACTGAGTATTATATTATGATTCGATATTATTAAGCAATTGTTACTTCCTTGGCATTTCAGATCCCATTGTCACATTAAAAAAAGAAAGAAAAGACTAGAATTCTTCATAGTACTACCGAGAGAGCTGTAATGATGCCAAATATGTGTTTGTTTTTGTGAATTCTAGCCACAACAGTTAATTGCTATGGTTCTTTAGTAAAACTCATACCATTGGCTTTTAATGGCAGTGGTTTAATAGCTCAGACTTAAGATCTGAGCAGCTGAAAATATATTATTAATATATATTTTGCTTCTTCAAATTAAATGATTTAGCTAAATAAAAAAATCTGGAGATAAGATTGTGTGGATTTCCACTCAAAATAAACTAGTCTTTATCAGCTACATTTATCCTAGATGAAAATGATGCAAAGAATTGTTTTCAAAATATCCAGAGATGAATTTGAGAACCTTAACTTTTTTCTCCTGCTAATGATTATTATTATCAATGTGACTATGTGACATACTTCACGATACAGATCCTAAATTTATGGCCATATATTCAGTAAATGTGAACATATAAAGTGTTTTGTCATTTATAATCATTTCGGCCTACATTTAGTGTTTTAGTTCTCAAGTACATGTGATTTTATTAAAAGCATTCCACTGCAACATCCATTCTTCCTAATTGGTTTAACAATTGGCTTTACTGTTTAGACAAATCTTCACTGCATTTCTCCCACAATTGTGACATGATTTGTATTTCCTTATCTTACTAGATTATTTGTAATTTATTGGTAGAGAGCACTTAAAGTAAAATATAAAAATTTACAGTAGTTTCCAAATAACAATACCCACCCTCCGTCTATTCTCCCCTTAAAAAATAGTCTAGTAGTATGCTTATTTTAAAATGTTCCATTAAGCTATATGTTATCTAGAAAATTATGTATTCTTCTCTTCCTGAGAGTACAGGGGGGTGAGTGGGAAATGCAGCAACAAAATCATAAGCAAAAAACCATCTCCTGAGGTGGGCATGAAAGGAAGAAGAAAAATTATGTAGTAGATGGAAACTTCCAACTTTCCTTTTGAACATTTTTATAAATTACTCCCTTCCACATAATGAAGCCCTAGTAGACTGCCGCCTGGCAGTTTCTCATCTTTGCTTCTTAGAATCCCTTGTTTCCTTCAAGATTCAGCTCAAGCACCATCTTCTATATGAAGCCTTTTGTTATCACCTCCATTCCCCCATCCCCCAGCTATTAGGGCCCTCTCTTCCAAATTATTTCAAAGTATTTTGTATTTAATTTGTATATATCCTATATATACTTATGTATGTGTATATGTGTGTGTATGTGTGTGTGTGTGTGTGTGTGTGTGTGTATAGTGCATTCACTACCCCCCCACACACATACACACATTGAAATGTAAGCTCTTTGAGGGCAAAGACTATCCCTGTTTGTCTTCACATCTCTTGTACCTACATACTGCTTAATAAGTATGCATTGATTGAGTAGCTAATCTGGTTTTTGATTGTCAAACGTACAGTCCCACACACATTTTTTAGAAGTCTTTCCAACTTAGTAGGTAGGATTTTCCAGAGCTTTTGTTTTCCTGGCATGGAGAACCCTAGGTCATTTCCATGACACAATGAATCATCAAAATAGAACTTCAGTGGAGGGGTTCTTATAACCATATTGAAATTGCTTATAGAAATACTGTCATAAAGGAGAGAAGTGAAATTGTAAAGACAATATTAATTCATGCTACTAAATGAATCAATTAAATGAAATCAGTAAAAGAAAAATATTTATCAGTCATGGCATTCTGGGAAAGGCAAAAATATTTGACCTTTGTGAAAAGTGTGTCATGACCATGTGATGGTTTATTTCTTTGTATGTAGAGCTATATATTTTAATATATCCTGAATATTTCACTCATCCCTTCAAATTTTAGAGCCTAATACATTAGTTGGGTGATGAACAGCACCATTTAAAGTTTTACCCCTGATATGAATATTATCACTATAAAACATTCTCCTTTTAGATAAAAATACATGAACTTCATTAATAATTGATTTATATGCAATTTGTTTTATGCTATTTTCTCGGGCATCCTATGATGCTAAGTATATGCTTCCTATGTGTTATTTTTTTAGCAAACTAGCTAGTCATTAGTTAACATTTGTGTTAAATTTTTATAATTTATAGTTAATTTCCATACCCTCAAAGGAAAATGAGCACATTGTCCCTGTTTTATGTATAAAGACGCAAGAATAACGTTTATTTCAACGTTTGCCCAATATTTCATTAAAAAGTATTTATCCTGGAATCATGATGTAGTGTCTACCTTTACAAGTAAAATATTTTAACCTCCTGAACCAATGATACCTTTGTTGAGACAAGTCCCTCATTGAAACATATTACTTCCCTCTTTACCAACTATCCACACATGCAGTAGTCTCTATGCAAGTGATAATAATGAAGAAAATGCCACTTGACATCGATTTTTAAAATATCATTAAAAGGATCCTATAACACCATATCCTTAATATTCACATGGAAAACAATTCCCCCCTTTTGGCCATATAGTCTACAAAATATCTATAAGAGTTCTAGAAATTAAAAGTATGAAAAATTCAAATCCTCTAGATCTATACTTGCATTAGTGCTTAGTAGTTTACTTGATCCAGGTAGCCCTCTAATCAACTAAACAACAACAGCTGAAAGATAGAAATGATTTTTGACATTTAGGGGGTATGTTTGTAAATCACATCATAATATGTTGGGTGTATGTATTTTTTAATAGGTGAGAGGCCCTCCAACTGCAGGAGCATTTAAAGAACGACCAACAAAACCCACAGCATTTCGAAAGTTTTATGAGCGAGGAGATTTCCCAATTGCCCTTGAGCATGACTCCAAAGGAAACAAAATTGCCTGGAAGGTAAGTCAGGGCACAGCTGTGACAGCCAGCTGTGCTTACTGAAGTGACATCTCCCATTGCCAAACAAAGTTGGCTGATAAGTAAATAAACTAGAGTGATTTCTCAGCAAATAGAAGATACCAGGAAAGCTCTTAGGAAAAGGCCCCCTGAGTCAGCCATCCACCTTGGCTAACAATTAAATTATAGGTTGCAAAAAAAGAAGATGACAGAGTTGCTTTGCCTTAGAGAATTGTCTGCTGCCCAATTCATCTCTATTTTTATGAGAACCTGGCAGCCCAGCCTGGTTCAGGCAGTCCATCAAATGATGGAAGTGGTGGCTGGATACAGTGAGCAACAGCCATTTATCTCCCCCAGATTTCACCTTCCTGCAGGACACTTCCAAATGGAAGCTTTAATTACCTAAATGGATAGGTCAAGATTGCCTGCTCCCTGGAAATGCAGAGCGGAATACAAAGGAAGGCAGATTCTTATTCCGTGGCCGTACTCTGGGTCTGCAGCATATGTCAGCCGGCGTAATCGCTGTCATACGTGCCCCTGTTAGAGGCTGACCTCCACCGCTGAAACCATTACAATGCCGACATTTCTCTGACAAAAGGTTAATTGGCTTCAAAATAAATGTATTGCCTAATGACTCCATTCTAATGCGACCGTGTTTCTCTCTAAAAGGCTCACTGATGTTATTTGTAAAAACTTGCCAATCTCTTACCTAACTGGAGAAGGTTTTTAAATTTAATTTGAGAAATGAATACTGATTTTTAACCTGTTCTTCCTATTTTATTATTTTTGTTATCACAGTATTCACTTTGCTTTAGGGATTATCAACTAAAAATATTTTCCACCAAAAAAAAAAAAGGTTAGTAGTTGCATCTCAGGTGATGGAAATAAAAATATAATTGTTAAATATCATTCCAGTTAAACAATGAAGGCATTTAACTCCAAAGGGAAACTGGTGGTAGTATGTTTAGCGTGTGTAGAAGAGTGTAGTCGTTGCTTATGAGACAACTAAAAATTCTAAGTATGAAATAAAATTGCCAAAATTGTCAAATAGAGTAAATTAGAAAGCCAAATCCATTAGAATATTTGTTTCCCTTATAGTTTGCCTTATAACCCTACTGGGAAAACATATTTGGTACTCATGAGATACAGCAACATCAGATTTTTCTTGATGTCTATCTACTCCTGTATATGCTCAGATATATGGATATAATTTTCAAACTTTTTTTCAACATTCATTATGGTATTTATTCAGAAATTTAAAATATTTACCCTTTTAGAGGTAAAGTAGCCAATAGTCTGAAAGTTTGGAACTTTTTTTAAAAGCAGCTGATAATTTTTATTTTTTTTAATTTTTTTTAAATTTTAAATTATTTTGATTTATCAACAATCACTTCCATATGCTTTTGAGTTGAAAATTTTTCTCCCCTTCCTCCCCACCCTCCCAAGATGCACAATCTGATATACTTACATTTACATTCCTATTAAACATATTTTCACATTAGTGAAGTTGTAAGTAAAAATTAAAACCAATAGGAGGAACCATCAGAAAGATGAAACAAAACTCAACAGAAGGAAAAAAAGATAGCGATTCACTTCCATAGTTCTTTCTTTGGATGTGGACAGCATTTTCCATCCAGGCCTCTGGATGTCTTAGATCCTTGTAATGCTGAGAAGGGTTCAGTTTCAATATTAGTCATCGCATGGCTGTTATTGTGTACAAAGTCTCTTGGTTCTGCTCACTTCACTCAGCATCAGACCATAAAGTCTTTCCAGGTTTTTCTGAAGTCAGCCTGTTCATCATTTCTTATAGCACAATAGTATTCCATTACATTCATATACCACAACTTGCTCAGCCATTCCCCAATTGATGGGCATCCTCTCAATTTCCAATTCTTTGCCACCACAAAAAGAGCTGCTATGAATATTTTTGTACATGTGGGTCCTTTTCCCATTTGTTGATCTCTTTGGGATATAGCCCTAGAAGTGCTATTGCTGGATCAAAGGGTATGCACATTTTTGTAGCCCTTTGGGCATAGTTCCAAATTATTCTCCAAAATGGTTGGATCATTTCACAACTCCACCAACAATGTATTAGTGTTCCAATTTTCCCACATCTTCTCCAACATTTATCATTTTCCTGTTTTGTCATGTTGGCCAATCTGATAGGTGTGATGTGGTACCTCAGAGTTGTTTTGATTTGCATTTCTCTAATCAATATTTAGAGCATTTTTTCATATGACTATAGATGGCTTTAATTTCTTCATCTGAGAACTGTCTGTTCATATCCTTTGACCATTTATCAATTGGGGAATGGCTTGTGTTCTTATAAATTTGTCTTAATTCTCTATATATTTTAGAAATGAGGCCTTTATCAGAGAGACTGGTTGTAAAAATTCTTTCCCAATTTTCTACCTTCCTTCTAATCTTAGTTGCATTGGCTTTGTTTGTGCAAAAACTTTTCAATTTAATGTAATCAAAATTATCCATTTTGCTTTTCATAATGTTCTCTATCTCCTGTTTGGTCATGAATTCTTCTGTTCTCCATAGATCTGATAGGTAAACTATTCCTTGTTCTCCCAGTTTACTTATGGTATCAGCCTTTATATCTAAGTCATGAACCCATTTTGACTTTATTTTGGTATATGGTGTGAGATTTGGGTCTATGCCTAGTTTCTGCCATACTCTTTTCCAGTTTTCCCAGCAGTTTTTTTCAAAGAGTGGGTTCTTATCCCAGAAGCTGGGGTCTTTGGGTTTATCAAATAATAGATTACTATAGTCATTGACTACTGTGTCTTGCATATTTAACCTATTCCACTGATCCACCTCTATTTCTTAGCCAGTACCAAGCAGTTTTGATGATTGCTGCTTTATAATACAATTTAAGATCTGGAATTGCTAGGCCACCTTCCCCTGCATTTCTTTTCATTAGTTCCTTTGATATTCTGGACCTTTTGTTTTTCCAAATGAATCTTATTATTTTTTCTAACTCTATAAAATAATTTTTGGTAGTTTGATTGGTATGGCACTGAATAAGTAAATTAGCTTAGGTAGGATTGTCATTTTTATTATATTAGCTCGGCCTACCCATGAGCAACTGATGTTTTTGTTTTGTAATTGTGTTCATAGAGTTCCTGGGTTTGTTTCAGGAGGTAGACTCCTAAATATTTTATAATGTCTACAGTAAGTTTAAATGGGATTTCTCTTTCTATCTCTTGCTGTTGGGCTTTGTTGGTAATATATAGAAATGCTGATGATTTATGTGGGTTTATTTTATAGCCTGCAACTTTGCTAAAGTTGTTTATTATTTCAAGTAGTTTTTTACTTGATTCTCTAGGATTCTCTAAGTATATCATCATGTCATCTGCAAAGAGTGATAGCTTTGTTTCTTCTTTGCCTATTCTAATGCCTTCAATTTCTTTTTCTTCTCTTATTGCTAAAGCTAAGTTTTCCAGTACAATATTGAATAACAGTGGTGATAATGGACATCCTTGTTTCACCCGATCTTATTGGAAATGCTTCTAGCCTGTCCCCATTACATATAATGCTTGCTGAAGGTTTTAGATAGATGCTATTTATTATTTTAAGGAAGACACCATTTATACCTATGCTTTCTAGTGTTTTTAATAGGAATGGGTGTATTTCAAAAGCTTTTTCTGCATCTATTGAGATGATCATGTGGTTTCTGTTGGTTTTGGTGTTGATATGCTCAATGATGCTGATAGTTTTCCTAATATTGAACCAACCCTGCATTCCTGGTATAAATCCTACCTGGTCATAGTGTATTATTCTTGTGATAAGTTGCTGCAATCTATTTGCTAGTATTTTGTTTAAAATTTTTGCATCTATATTCATTAGAGAAATTGGTCTATAATTTTCTTTCTCTATTTTGACTCTTCCTGGTTTAGGTATCAACACCATATTTGTATCATAAAAAGAATTTGGTAAGACTCCTTCTTCACCTATTTTCCCAAATAGTCTATAGTATTGGATTAATTAATTGTTCTTTAAATGTTTGATAGAATTCGCATGTAAATCCATCTGGCCCTGGAGATTTTTTCCTAGGGAGTTCATCAATGGCTTGTTCAATTTCTTTTTCTGAGATGGGGTTATTTAAGTATTTTACTTCCTCTTCTGTTAATCTGGGCAATTTATATTTTTGTAAATATGTATCCATTTCACTAAGATTGTCAAATTTGTTGGCATATAGTTGGGCAAAATAATTCCTAATTATTGTTTTAATTTCCTCTTCCTTGGTGGTAGCTTCACCCTTTTCATTCTTGATACTAGTAATTTGGTTTTCTTCTTTCTTTTTTTAATTAAATTAACCAAAGGTTATCTATTTTATTGTTTTTTCATAAAACCAGCTCTTAGTTTTATTTATTAGTTCAATAGTTTTTTAATTTCAATTTTTAATTTTTCCTTTGGTTTTCAATATTTCTAATTTGGTGTTTAGTTGAGGATTTTTAATTTGTTCTTTTTCTAGTTTTTTTAGTTGTATGCCCAATTCATTAATCTCCTCTTTTTCTATTTTATTTATGTAAGCATTTAGAGATATAAAACTTCCCCTAAGAACTGCTTTCGCTGCATCCCATAGTTTTGGTATGTTGTCTCATTATTGTCATTCTCTTGAATGAAATTATTGATTGTTTCTATGATTTGTTGTTTGACCCAATCATTTTTTAGGATTAGATTATTTAGTTTCCAATTATTTTTTAGTCTATCTTTCCATGGCCCTTTATTACATATAATTTTTATTGCATCATGATCTGAAAAGGATGCATTTAATATTTCTGCCTTTCTGCATTGGATTGTGAGGTTTTTATGCCCTAGTACATGGTCAATTTTTGTGTATGTGCCATGTACTGCTGAGAAAAAAGTATATTCCTTTCTATCCCCATTCAGTTTTCTCCAGAGGTCTATCATACCTAACTTTTCTAATGTTCTATTCACCTCCTTAACTTCTTTCTTGTTTATTTTGTGGTTAGATTTCTAGTGCAAGAGGG